TTTAAAGTCTGCATCAACCATAAATTAAATCTGCCTTCACTTTTAATAAAATTTCTGTATTTATTTCAGATTYATGCAGTCATACATTTAGTTCTCATCAGTGTTTAAAAGAGGACAAGTTAAAACACTGTTTAGTCAAAGTTAAACACGAAACGTCAAAGTTCTTTATAAGTGGCCCTTCGAGGGCCACCATAACGCTTATGTGGCCCTCGGTGAAATTGACTTTGACACCCCTGGTTTAGAGTGTTTCATTGTGATGAGTTATTCAGTCTGAGCGGGTGTATCAAAACAACTCCAATGTAAAAAATAAATATTCATAGGAACAATATTTTGTAAACTTTGACATTAGTATCAGTTTTGTTTTAAAATATCTATCTATTGTTCCATAATGTGCCTCAGTCTGCTCTCAAATTGCTACAGCTAACTGCTATTTCTAGTTGTGTTTGTAAATAACCATTAACAGCCATGTTATCCAACAATGACTTCACTGTAAAGGCTTAAATTGGCATTTGTAAAAACTGTTATGATTTTGTTATGAGTTAAGGCAATTGCTGTTTATTTTAATCTCAACTGTGTTCAGACTAACTGTTAGCTCATCAGATTAATCAGAATAAAACTATTTCTTGAAACTGAGGTAGTTTGAAGAGTTATCTACCACAGGTAAGATAGTGACAGTTCATAATTTTTCCAAATACTCCCACTTCAAACCATCTCAGCTATAGTTTCAGGGTTTATTTTTTATCATGTTAGAGCTCATTGTTTTTTTTTCTCCTTGAGGTCTGCATCTAAACAGCTGAATATAATATTATCTGTACTTCTTACTATTTCTCTTGAATAAAGGCCTAGTCCCAGACCTGAATAACTGAAGCATTTATTCCTGGCATTATTTAGGACATTGATACATATTTTTTGTTGTGTTGTTTGTGCCGACCTGCATGGATGCAAACAGAGAGCATGAGTGAACATCTTCCTACAGGAGTAACATGTTTTCCACGTGTCCCAGTGCAGAACAGAAATCAGTCAGTTCTGGCTCATTTACTGGCGCCCAGAGCTCGGCCCACGCGCTTGAAAACCAAACCAGAGATGACCTCCAGAGGCGCGCCTGCCGCCGCCACCACCACGACCGACAGACCGTAGAGCACAGAAACCTGCGCGTCTGTACCAGGGCCGGAGCCAGGGGTGGCCATGGCCACCACAGATAAATCTTTGGCCACCCCATTGGTCACCCTGCTGTACACACCTCTTCCACAGTGAAACAACCTTTAGGGGTGTAATAATCCTCCTGAACAGTTGGTGGCAGTGTTTAACAGTTTGAAACATTACCAAGACAAGGAAGTGATGGTTTTCTTTATATACAGAACATATGCCTATGTAATCTGACATACGTTGCCAACTTTCGGACTTATGGTGACAAATGTTTTATTTTTATTTTTATTTTTTTGTCACCATAACACTGTCATTTTATGTCATGAAGGCTGCATGGTGCTCTGTGTTTGGTTTTGAGTAGGCCCATCACTAAATCAGAAAAAGTGGAACACCCATAGATATKTACAGGAGATAACCTATGGACTGGAGCTGCCTATTGGAGCAGACGTGTCAGTGCGGCTGCCACCTTGGGTACCTCTCATGCTCCCAGCACATTTATTTACACTCACCAGCCACTTTATTAGGTACACCACGCTAGTAACGGGTTGGACCCCCTTTTGCCTTCAGAACTGCTTCAATTCTTCGTGGCATAGATTCAACAAGGTGCTGGAAGCATTCCTCAGAGATTTTAGTCCATGTTGACATGATGGCATCACACAGTTGCAGCAGATTTGTCGGCTGCACATCCATGATGCAAATCTCCCGTTCCACCACA